CACTACTGAGGTTAATGCAAAGTGGGTTATTTCATTAGAAGGATGGAGCAGGTGTGCAGAGTTTTGAATACAGTGACAGGAGGCATTTTTAGAGGGAAAGCCAGTGCAACCATTAAAGGACTAATGAGACTAAATTAATGAGGAGGTGTGTTAGTGGCTGCATTTTGTGTACCCTGAAGGGGCTCGTGTTTTGTGATCGTGGAGCAAGAAGAGAAAGCGGCATTCAAAATGGATAAAAGGAAGGCCTGATCCAAAGTGGTATTAGAAGGCCTGTTGGGTTCAGTTGATGGGTCCTTTGGGTCCAGAGGTGTCACACAGTGAGGCATGAGGAGGGGAAGCCCTGGATGTGGGACAGGGAAAGAAGCAGCTGGGTCTGGAAAAACAGAGTGCACTGAAGGAGGACCCAAAGCAAGCAGGAGGTAGAAGAGGCCCAGTTTGGGCTCCCACCCAGACTACAAAGACAGGCAGGTTCTTTAGGGATCCCCAGTAGAACATTTTGCCACACTAACCATCACTTGAGCTCAGAGCACACACACAAAGGTCACTTCAGGCCTTGGCATTGGCAGTGTCACTGTCGCGGGGATCAGGGCCCGGCAGCACTGCCCGGCCTCAGCCCCAGCTGCGACTCACTGCAGCCACTGAAGCCTGTAAAGGGGAGTGAGGCCATGACCAGCCCACCTACAGGTAATGGTCACCTGCCCTGCAAGGTGGTGGAACAGGGGCGGAGAGTGCCGGTCACAGCAACGAGAACAAACAAGGGGATGGGGAGCAGATTTGGCCACGGGAGATAGAAGCATGGTGTGGGGCCTGTGGTGACTGCCAGTGCAGGGTGTGGTGGCAGGTGGGAAGCGTGGGCAGCTGAACAAGTACGTGTGTGTCTTCAGGTGATAGCTGACACCTTGGAGGGAGAAAGGGTAACGCAGTTAACAGATCTACTGCTGATGCACAAACATTTTACAGTTTCTGTCTCTTGCCTGGAGCTCATCTGACATTGTTGGAGTGCTGCCTCTCCTCTTTCAAGGCCAGGGTTTAGGCTGGAGACATTGAAGGGTTACCGGCTCTCCACTCAACGCGGCAGGGACAGAGTTGTCACAACCTAAATGGTAGCGTGCTACCAGAATCAATACAGATTGAACCTCTGCCAGCGAGACTGCACAGTGCTTGATTTCTTGTGTAGGGGAATCAATATGAATTGGCTACAGGATGGGAATATACAGATGCAGCCAGGGAGAGAAAAAGTAGATGGAAAGCTGAGGGGAACAGAGGTGATCAGTCATTAACAAAAAGTTTTGTGGAAGCTATAATTCATCTGCCCCTTGAGTCACCCTTGTGGACATAATGGCCCAGCGATGCAATGCTTCTGAGGTTTATTCTTCTTGGTTCATGTAAGTATGACTTTATAATAACAGCTTAAATGTTGCTATGGGTCCTAGCACATCCCTGCCCCTTTCATCCAGTTCCCACCAGGGATGGGCAAAAGTAGAGTACATCAGCCCTTCTCCTTTTTTTGCTTTTCCCCAGTTCCCACGTAGGGTGTTACTCCATCCAAGCACATCATCCAGGCACAGTTAGCCTGCTGGTACAATCTAACTGTCTCAAGGATTTCCCATTTAAGCTAGTGACTCTAACTGGGTTTCCTAGCATGGAAGATTTAATAAAAGAATTATTCTGGAGATGTATAATGTCAGTATCCCTAATGACTCTGTTTCTAATTAGCTGTTAATATTGGCATGAGAAAGAACAAGAGCGATGACTTGAGAGCTAAATTTTACACTAAAGTGGCTTTGGAAAGGTGTCATTTCAATGAGGTGTGCTAAGGGATGGTGGCAAAAGGAGGAGTGCCCTTTATTGTAAGTGTTGTGTGGGACCTCTGCCTTCCTCACGCATTTTTCTGCATCTATCTGAAACATACCCACTGTGTGTCAATGTTTACTGTTTTTTATTTAAAAGCAGCATTTAGAAACTCTCGCTTCTACCTCAGATCTTGGCTTTGTAAATTATTCCACCCATATTAAGGACTGAATTATCTTGGGAATTCATGATTTCTTGCCTTAAGGAAAGGTGAAATCAATTGATTTCTGCTCCTTTTCTTATCTAGCTAGCAGTAAGTGAGCTGCTTTTGAGTCTTCAGATGTCTAGTTTACAGTAAATATGCCAAATTGGCCTCTGTTATGTACTTGCGATACTGTGGGCACCCTTGCTAAATAATGATTATCTGACTTGACACTGTTACAGCATAATGTGTGTACAGAGCTGTACGCAGATTTTCTTTTTACCATTTAATCTGGAGCTTTGTGCGTAGGCATTTCTGTATACTGACAGGGGACATGGACACCATTTGAATCACCTTTGGATTTCCATTGCCAAACTGGTTAACTATATAGACAAGGAAGAAGATTGGTGGAAGAACTGTTTGGTGCCATAGGAAAAATAAATGGTGTATTGGAAACTCAGACCGAGAACAGATCTGTTTGCCTGGGGCCATCTTTATGTCCTAGAAAGGAGGACTCCTTTCTGGGGGCAGAGTTTATGCTGTGCAGAAAAGGGAGGGAGGAAGAGCAGAAGAGCGAGCTCTATCGTGGCTATGAAGTATGTCTCTTGTTAGAGGTAGGGAAATTAAAAGTGGAAAAGTTGTAAGTCATCCCAAATTGTTGAAACAGATGGCACAGGAGTTATTACCCCTGTGTTCTGTGCTAAAGTTCTTTCTCTCTAAAGGTTGCACCAGGTATGGCCAGTGTATTTATAGTTTGCAGAGGAAATGAAGGGAAATAGACTCTAGCTTTGCAGTTTGTAAATTAACACAATTAGAGGGTAGTTTGCAAGGGTGAACTGCTCAGGCTATGTGCAAAACCAGCTCATTTTACTTTTACTAATTTGTTCTTTAATTAATTAGTGCCTGTGTTCATTTGTGCTGAGACTGGCAAGATGCTTCATGCAAGAAACCTGTTTTCATCGTGATTAATTCTGAGCTGGGGCAAGCCTTTTAAAAAAAATATTAGCCAGCCATCTCCTCACTTAGCTCCTGGAGCTTATGGTAAAAATCATAAGGCAGACGGATGATGAGAGCAGGGAGGCAGAGACAGGCCATCCCATTTTACAGGTAAGGAGGTTGCACACATGGAGATGAACTGATTTACCTGCACAGGGAATTTAGGGCAAAGATGGTAAATGACTCCTGTTTTCCTGAGTGTTAATACTGTAATTACCACAGGTTCAGCCAGATTTTTCATTTCTGAAAAAGTTGTGTGGCAGATTTTCAACTCTCTAGTGCCTGTGGGAGTAGGTAGATTTTAGGGAAGAGCTCCCCAGCGTATGGAGTATGATGCTGTTCAGAGTAACCTGACAGGGAGAGACAGGCTGCTAGAGAAGCAAATGAGCCGGCCATGCGTTTTGCTGAGTGATGCTTTTGTGGGACCGAGTAAATGATGAAAATCCCGGTGATGCGTCTGCAGCGGAACGAGCAAACCTTCCGGCAGGGGAAGCACGGCCTGCTCTGACCCCGCGCCCCCCACAGCATCCCAAACGCTTACGCGCAAGACATTTTTACAACAGCTACTTATTCCCGTTGCTTTGGGCAGCGCTGCCCGTGTATCCGGGCAGCCCCTGTTGAGCCAGCCGCACGCCAGGCTCCGTCTCCAGCCGTTACTCCCCGCTCAGAGTTTCGGAGCGCGGCGGGGCGGGGGCGGGGGGGGGGCGGGGGGGGGGGGGGGGGGGCGCTGAGGCCGGTTTCCGCCATGTCGGCGCTGGGCCCGCAGCCCTGGGGGAGCGGCGGAGAAACCCGGCCTGGGCCGGAGCAGCCGGGATGGGAGGCTGGAG